CCTGAAATTCGTTTTCTTTCCACCCAAATTCCATTCTTGAAATCAAACGAACCCTTATTTTGTTAGAAATAAACCTTTATTCCACAAATCATTTACAGAGGCCAGTCAATCAAAAGTCACAATGAAAGACTGGGAAACAAATCAGTGTGAGAATGCTAAATGAAACTTAAACATAATACTTTATTTGTACAGTTCATGGTTATATCAATTTTCCTACATAAATTTTTCATCTTCACAATCAGAAACCTTCTTCAAGCTCCTACCATATCGACCGGAGAATCAGTGATTTGCAGTGGTTCGACTTGATGCTTTCCGTGTTTAGGTTGATGCTGCGACCAATATGTGTGTGCAGCCAGGACTCGATTCAACAACTCCTGTGGCACGGGCTCTCCCCTACGTTGCTGGGGGGCTATGCTTGCAGTATGAACAAGGGTCTTCCATTTATCCTTTAAACCAACCAAAACCCGTATTAGAGACACAAAGGGATAATTATTGAGTCACTAATCGAATAATTAAAAATACTATTAACCTAATCCATCCCATGTGATTGTTCACTGGTTTCTCAAGCAATCATTTAGCAGTCTACCAATATTATAAGCCTAAAGCATGTGGAGTTGTCATAGGATGACATCTTAGCCAAACACAAAAATATTCAGACATGTTTAAAGAAAGGCACCAATTATAAAAGATCAAAATGTATTTTATTATATAAGACATGAGATCTCGATAAAGATAACAAGTTAAAAAAAGTCCCAAAACATAAAGCACAATCTCACATCGAATGCTATTAAACGTTATTTCCAGATGAAAGTAGATTACTGATATACCTTCAAGTCCACATAAGTTCTATGATCTGCATCCTCAAATGCACGCATTTTAACATTGCGCCACCTGCAAAATTAAAAATTTAATCAGATTTTCATATTCCCTGATCAAGGAAAAATCTTAATCATGTTCTCCCCTATACCACAAATATTTATATTTCACAAACCTTCCAGTCCCAAGTTTTTCAACAGCTTCAACCAGGGCTTCCACTTCTGCCACAGAGAAGGGTCTCCTAGTCCTACGTTGCGAAAGTTCATTGTGTTTACGTTTTGAGTTAAAGGGAACTACTGCAAGTGCTTCCATATTTGTTGGAAGGACTGGAACCAAGGCCTTGGAGTCGGGCAATGCTTCATCTTTTAATGCA